TCATGGTCTGGGTGTCATCAGTCACATTCTCCACTGAAGGATTTTCATGGACAGAAGATTTGGTAGCTTAGTTACAATCTTTGTAAGATAAGTGTGGAATGTACTTCTGGTTTTAAGATGCCCTGCTCCTTCAGATTCCCCCCTCCACACACACACACTTGCTTATGGCAACTCTGAAACAGGCATAGGAATGCTTTACAAGTTGACACTTTGTTCATTAGACGGAACTGACTGTTTCTTTTTCAGGGATGTTAAATGTGGCAGGTTATTCTGCGTAGATAATTCAACTGAAGAGAACTCGTGCAAATTTTACTTTTCAAACGAAAATGCCAATTTAGGAATGGTTGAACCTGGAACAAAGTGTGGAGAAGGAATGGTGAGTAAAAGATTAGCTCTTATCTGTCTGCTGGAAGATCTGATTCCAAGGGGTAATCACTGAAATAATTTTGCAACAGATCTTGCTAAAAGCTAGCTTAGATTCTCTTTTTTTTGGTTATATTTTTATTTTATTTTTTTAAAGAGTTAAAATGTAAAATTCCAAAAATTGTTTAAAAAACCCAAACAAATGAAGAAAAAACAGGAAACAAGACATTAAAAAAGTAAAAAAAACCAACACTCCTAACACATAAACATATATTATCCCCCCTAGTTGAATACTGATTAATACATTACTGCAATAGTAGTTTCCCACCTCTTGAGAAACACCAATTTTTGAACTACTAAAACTATTTTCAAATTATTAACTTGCCATCTATATACTATATTAATGACAAAATAATTAACAAGAATGATGATAAAAAAACAAAATTAAAATTAACCCTCTGTTAACAAACTGTTATTCTGATTAATGCGTAGAAAATTCACCACAGCATCTTATCCTTCCCAAATTGCCAAAGTATTAACAGTGCTTCATCCTTGATCAAATATTCACATTTTTTTCTTAATACCATCTTATCAATTGATGTCAGGTTAAATATAATAAATACAATGTTCAAAGTTTGTCTATTTTCCCAAAAAAGTACAGATGAAAGTGTTTTCCAGTTAAGTATGATAAATTCATTCCCAATTGACCTACAATCCCCTTAAAGGTAAAGGTAAAAGTTCCCCTTGCACATACGTGCTAGTCATTTCCGGCTCTAGGGGGCATCTCCATTACAAAGCCAAAGAGCCAGTGCTGTCCAAAAGCATCTGTGTGGTCATGTGACGCCAAAGGTGCACAGAACGCTGTTACTTTCTCACCAAAGTGGCCCCTATTTTTCTACTTGCATTTTTACATGCTTTCAAACTGCTAGTTTGGCAGAAGCTGGGACAAGTAACGGGAGCTCACTCCATTACGTGGTGCTAGGGATTTGAACTGCCAAACTTTCTGATCGACAAGCTCAGTGTCTTAGCCACTGAGCCACCGCATCCCTTCTCAATCCCCAATCCTTTTAGGAAAAACCAATTTATCGCTTCGTCAGATTCCTGCTATTGTAAAAAAAAAAAATGCAGGGTTCCACTTCAGAAACCCATGTACAATTAAACTCAGTTCTAAATCTGTACACTCTATATTTCTTTCTAACAATTCTGCTGCTTTCAAATCACATTCATTTTGTGAATCTAATTTATCCAGAACTACATGTACCAAGGGATGGGATCCAACTGGTATAACTACCGGTTCTGTTGCTCCATGTTGGGTGTGCATGTGTGCTTTGCGCATGAGTCACGTGGGTGCAATTTACGACCTGCTGAGCTGCCTGGACAGCTGAACAGCGCTGCATGCAAGTGCACAGCTGTTGGAAAAGCTCCTTTTTCCTGCTTTTTCAATCACAGCTGCGTCGCGCAAAGCAGCTGTGGTTGAAAAAGCAGGAAATAAAGGACAGGTAAGAGCCCAGGTGGGCAGGTGGGCCAAAATAGCAGCAGACATAGAACCGGTTCTATGTATGCTCTCTGTCTGCTGTTCTTCAGAACTACCGGTTCTACAGAGGTGGACAGAACTGGTAGAATCCCGCCCCCTGCATGTACCTAAGTATTGTCTGTAGCCATTATCATTTCATCAAAAAACTAGGGATTGCATGTTGCAAAATGGTCTTTCTTCACATATCAGCCACTGTCAGAAATGCTGTAGGGTCTGCTTGGGTGGGGGGTTGGTCTAGATAACTTACAAGGTCCCTTTCCAATTCTGTTAATTTGTGTCTGTATCTAAGGTATCTCTATATGGAAGGCGGAAGAAAGATGAAAAAATCAGGACAGAGATGGTTTTGACCTAAAAGTCACCAGTTCAATGAAGCCATTTAGAAGTGTTGAATCAATCCTAAAGCTTTTCTTAAAGGATCAGGAATCACTTCTTCCTGTCTTTTTACACTGTATAAAACCTGAAAGAAGTGTATTGAATATCTTGGGCTAGTTCTAGGGAGTTGAGTTGTGTAGGAAAATGCTGTCTTACTCTATTGATAATCTTTGACATTGACTTTCAGGTCTGTGGCTTCGGGCAGTGTATTACCCTAGAAACAGCTTTTGGACCAACCAGTAACTTCACTCAAATGTGATTTTGGAGATCCACTTTCCAGAAAGCTTGACTTCCCTCAAAAGACCCATCTCTCTTCATCATACTAGTAAATCTTTCTTAACTTCTAGATGGCATCTAAAATCTGCAATTTTTCTTCTCCATGTTTAATCTGACTACTTTTTGCTGTAATTAAACTCTTTCCCAGCCACAAGGCTCCGTGAGCATCTACAACACCAAAGATATATGTGCTGTCAAGAAAAAAACATTGGCTATTTTACTTTTGCCAATTGCAAAACACATTTTAATGCAACAAGTTTTACTTTTGGAGCTGGCATCTTCAAAGGCAATGAATTCTGTTCCAAAATTTTCTTCCTGACAATCAAAGATGTAGCTGCTTCTATCAATAAACAAATCTAATTCTGCATTTAGTAAAGGTCGATGTTCATATTTGGTCCTCAAGTATTTACATGCAGTCATGAAGTAAATCATCAAGTGAATTATCTACTGGCATTAAAGAGGGTAGATTTAGTTCGTTCAATCAGCCAGAAAAAGATGGCTAGTATTTTGTTCTCAGAGGGAGCCCTTAACAATACATCATACACATATGGCAATATAGAGCTGTTTGTTTGTGGTTATGGGGTGGGGTCTATCTGAGTAGGTCAGAGCCAAGAGCTTTACCAAAAATGATTGGGCTATTTTCAAATCAGTCTGATTCCCTTTACATGTTCGAGAGGTCGAATCAAGATCAGGTGAAGTGTTAATACCACATTATAATGCCTTGGTAAGGCCACACTTAGAATAGTGAATCAAGTTTTGGTCACCACAATGTAAAAAAGATGTTGAGACTCTAGAAAGAGTACAGAGAAGAGCAACAAATATAATTAAGGGACGGGAGGCTAAAACATATAAGGAATGGTTCAGTGGTGGGATTCAAATTTTTTTACTACTGGTTCTGTGGGTGTGGCTTGGTGGGCGTGGCAGGGGAAGGACACTGCAAAATCCCAATTCCTTCCCCACCCCACTAACTTGCTTTCCAGCTCCATTCTCTTGTGCAGGGCAACAAAAGAAGACCCAGTCAATCAGCTGGGACTCGGGAGGCAAAGAATAGATGGGGGTGGGGCCAGTCAGAGGTGGGATTTGCCGATTCTCTAAACTACTCAAAATTTCCGCTACTGGTTCTCCAGAACTGGTCAGAACCTGCTGAATAACCTCTGGAACAATTGCTAGAATTAGGTATGTCGAGTTTAATGAAAAGAAGAACTAGGAGTGACACAGATATCAGTGTTCCGATATCTCCAGTTGCCATCAAGAAGGGGGAGTCAAGCTATTCTCCAAAGCACTTGAAGGCAGGACAAGAAGCAATGAATGGAAACTAATCAAGGAAAGAAGTAACCTAGAGCTAAGGAGAATTTTCCTGAAGTTAGAACAATGAATCAGTGTAACGGCTTGCGTCCAGAAGTATGAATGATCCAACACTGGACATTTTTAAGAGATTGGACAATTATTCATCAGATAAGGTATAATGTTTCCTGCATTAGAAGGGGGTTGAATTAGAAGACCTTCAATTCTATTGTTCTATTATTCATTGTCAGATCATTGGAAAGCAAACAACCACTGACTGCCTTCTTGAAAAAGGATACAGAAAAAGGCATCATTTAAGTGCAATATAGTAAACCATGCAAAGGCAGGTGAAATCAAAGACATCCAAGTTTTGACACTGTAGGGTGAATTGTTTTCACTGTGAGTAAATTGATAATTCTCAAGTCCGGATGAAAAGACCCATCACATTTCTTAACTGGCAGAATTGAAGTATTCAAATAAGATTTCCTTTTCTTGAGAAAATTATACTGTAGGAGATGATTAATGATTGGCCTTAGTTCTGCCCTAGCTTTCTCTGAAAGAGCAGACTGTTTAATTTGCACATATTCCTCTCCAAGGATTCCTGTCCTCATTTCCAAGGATTGGATTGGATTGCCTGAAGTGCAGAACCCATGGATGGGGAGGAGCAAGAGGACAACCAGAACTTAGCCCACAAAGAACCACAGTGAAACATTACGTTGCTCATCCTCACACTGCTATAATAGATTTCACCCTCAAGTCAAGCTTCAAACTTCACTTATCCTTAGCTAATTATGAATCTCTACCCATGTCTCCTTGCACACATATACATTAATTCTGAAAGTTTTAACCTAGCAGTAAAATATCCTCAAGCACTCAATCCAATCAATAGGTAAAGTTCATTTTTTTAAAAAAAAATAATCCATTTGCCTGTGGGAATCATATTTTCAGGAAAGCTAAGCCTTAAATTTTTTTTGATTAAAATAATCTCACATTATTAATGGGTTTAAACCTAGCTCCAGACTGTGTGATTGCAAAATTTGCAGGATGAAGCTCAGAAATTAAGAAAAATGGGCAGATAACCTACAGCAGACAAATCTAAATAATAGTTCCCAAACTAAATTCAAAACCGCTACTCATCTATAGGATCAAAGCTTCCCAGATTTTCAGTAGTTCTGTCACAGCATGAATTCCCAGGTGCATAACAAGCTTTCGCCATAACTACAGAGTAGTAAGATTTTATTGCACATTTAGGCAAGGTAAAACCAAATAAGCAGATATAATATAGGAGGTACATAGCTCAATAGTAGTAAATGTGAGAGGTATCTTGGAATCCTAATGGACAATCACTTAAATATGAGCCAGCTGCAGCTGCTAAAAAAAGTGAATACAATTTTAGGCTGCATTAATGGATGGACAGAATCAAGATCATGTGAAGTGTTGTAATGCCTTAGTAAAACCACAGTTGGAATATTGCATCCAGATTGGTCGTAACAATTTAAAAAAGATGTTGAGATTCTAGAAAGAATGCAGAGAAGAACAACAAAGATGATTAGGAGTCATCTTAGGGGTCAAAGATTGTCACTTTCCAACATATAATAAATAAATAATAAATATACTTTATTGTTATTGTACGTATATGCACAGTATACACATACAACAAAATTCACATAACACCCTGACCAGACCCAACACACACTCACACATGACAATCTCCAAACTCATCCCCACTCACCAAATTCACCCCCCCCCAAAAAAAACACACAAGCATCCACACAACAGACCAAGTAATACTGTCCAACAACTCACTGATACTGGTCCTTAAGTTCATTGTTAAGTGCAATTATAGTTCTGAGATAAAAACTGTTCAGAAAATGTGTGGTTTGAGTTTTAATTGTTCTGTATCTTCTGCCAGAAGGCAACAGTTCACAAAGATTATAAGCAGGGTGGGAAGAGTCTCTGAGAATGTTGTACAACTTCCTCAAACAGCAAGATGTGAAGATGCCATCCAGAGCTGGTAGCTATATATTCATCTCAACTCACAGCTGTGCATTATTGGTATGCAAAAGAAATGCATGGGTTGCTGACTGACAGGTTCTCCCAGGTTGCTTGATGTAATGTTTCTCTTGCATCCTAGGGACTGCTTTTTCAATCAAAAGCCAGGATGTGAAGAACAGCGATGGAGCCACTCACATGCTTAGAGATCCCTGCTCAATCTCCAAGTGGTCAATTGAAGCCACCAGGGTTCCAAATATAACAAGGGTCCCTGGCTGAGTGATTCTCTCTCTGCTGGTATCCTCCAAGGACTGGTCACAGAGAGGCTTACCAAGTCTGCAAACTGTTATGTCCTGAGGACTCAAGGAGTTCTCACTCAGGTCCACTCACTTGTGTGGGCGTTATTCCCCCATTCCCATTGGTCAGTTCTCCCCAGCAGCCAGCTATAAAAGCAGGCTGCGGGGTCCAACTGACTGCTGATTGCTGCGAGCCAGTTCCAGGCTTGGCAAGCACGGTCAGCCCTTTATTTGTAAATAAAGTACTGTTGCACTCATGCTCTGG